CTGACACTCATCTCGCTTTGGCAAACCAAATCGTGAATATAGAAGCCTTTCTACTTTTCTTGCGCCGCAGGCAAAAATTTTTCGAATTTACGATGGGCAAGAAAAAAATGCATCTTTTTGGCGCCAAAATGTCAGATTTTTGACAATAATGATGTTCGATATTTTTTTCGATCGATTGTTTCGATTGTTAAATTTTGTCGGTCGATATTTTTCGATAAATATCGAAAAAATATCGAATACCGAAGAATATCGAAAAAAATAAAATTTTCTCGGTCGATATTTTTTCGATAATATCGAAAATTATCGATAATTATCGATAAAAATTCGTATCGAGCCGATCTCTATTTATTTATATACATTCATTTACTAATATATTTTCAATATTCAGATATTGCGCAAATTGATTAATCTATATTTGAATCGTCTGTATAAAGCTGTGTAAATTCTTTAAATTAAACTGATTGAAAAAACTATAAAATTAATTAAAATAGTTGGGAAAATAAACTGAATAAACGTATAAATTCTTTGTAGCAGATTTTAAATAGTCAAATCGTCTATTAATTAAAAGAAGAAATTTTTATAGTTTATTTTGGTTTTATTTTACAATGCATATATTTATTATAATTAATTTTTATCTAATCATTGATAATATTCCTTTGCTTTATTTCCTTAGTCCTGTTTTACGTGATCTTTTTTGACGTGGGCGTAACAAAGACAAAATATTCAAAAAATATTTTTTATAATTAAATTGTTTAAAGTCTTATTATTTTATTATATTGGAAAAAGGAGAGGTTTTAAAGAGATTATTTTAGGAGAGACGAGTTATCGAAAAAACTGAAATTAGATATTTTAATATTTAGTATTGGTAGATTCATTTAGTAATTATATATCTTTTTCTTAATTATTATAGATTATTTCATTATAATTAAACAAATTATTAAATATGCAAATATAACTATGCATCAATAAAATTGTAATCGTGCGCAATTACATGATCCATCGTTTACAAGAAATTTATAATTGTATTTTGTAGTAATTTTTTACATTTTTAAAATGTTAAGTTTTATAGAATCTTATTATAATTATTTATTTTTTAAATCTGGTATTTATGATATAAAATGTTTTTATAAGTATTTGCTATTGTGTTTTCAATTTGTTCATTTCAATTATTTTTGTTTTTAACCTCTGTTAATAATAAATTAAATATACATTTTTTATTCATTAGTTGTAATTTACACGTAAGAGGTAACCTTACTTTTTTGATTTAGGTTTATTGTAGGATTTAAATTATCAGTTTATTAAATATTAGGAGCTTTTTAAATTTAATATCAAGGTAAATCTCATGAAATATAGTTATAAAAGGTGAACCAGTTTGATAAATAAGGCTACACAATACTACAAATTTTATTCCTAAACATCTTTTATATTATCTACAATATTATATCTAGAACTCTTTTAAATTAAGATTGTTTGCGTCTTTTCAATTAATTTATTTTAATGATTAAATTTCTATCATTTTATTATTAATAAATATTAATTACCGTATTTATTCTAATAGAGTGGCCGCCACTCTATTTTTCGATACCCCCAAAAAGGGGCCATTCTATTGGAGGGGCCATTCTAATGGAGGTGGCCATTCTATTTTTCATAGGTAAAAATCAGAGATAGGATGAATCAAATGTTCGATCGAATATTTTTTGACTTCGAAATTTAAAAGATTTTTCGTGTAAAATTCTATATTTTCGACTTTGGTTAGTGAATCTTTCTTTTCGTAACACTATAAAACATAAAAATCTTTTGCCTGCTGGGCAAAAAGGCAACTTTTTATTTACTTTGGTGCCAGACAATCAAAATTTCCGGTATAGTTTGCTCATAAAAGTTCGGGGATCTCGGAATTTGGACGTAATATATGGAAATTGGGAGAGATTTGGAGGGATATTGATTAGTAATTAAAATTCTAAACTACCAAAAATTCCAAAATTTTCGTATGTCTTCAAGGGTCCTGAAATATCCAGAATTTTATCCCAAATCTCAATCAATCCATCATTATTCCTCAAAATCCTATGTCCCTGCAAGTCCCCTGATAAAATAAATGTATCCAACTAAGGTTGTCGGATAGTTGGAAATCTTCGGATATCCGGATCCAATATCCGAACCGGATCCGACAACCTTATATCCAACTTCCTTATATCGTCAAATTCATAAATATCTATTAATTCTCTTAATCCCATGCATCTTCATTAAATCGTTGTAATTTCTTGATATCCCTCCTAATCCTCTCAAATCCCCTAATATCCCTCTTAATCTCCCTTTTATGACTCCAGATTTGCTCGAAAATATTATGATTATCCTTACTAAAGAGTAATATTTAATACATAATAGGAAAATAAAGAAATGTATTCAGGCATATACTTATTAGTTAAAAGGGCCATTCTATTAGAGGGCCATTCTAATGGAGGTGGCCATTCTATTTTTCATTACCCCGAAAAAGGGGCCATTCTATTGGAGGGGCCATTCTAATGGAGGGGCCATTTTATTAGAATAAATACGGTATATTTTAATTAAATAATTTTTCTGATCGACAGATAGATTAAATGTATTTATTGCAAAAATATGCTCCACCAGACCAGATCATATGAATATGTTTGAATTCATTAATATCCATTAGAAAAAGTTCATTTGAACGTGTTGTAATTTATTAAAATATTGATAGAATTGTGGTTGCATGTTGTCAAAACTAATATATTCTTTTGCAATAAGTTTATTTTATAAATATTGTAAATATTTATTTTAATATGCTTATAAATATTAATATATTTATATTTTAATTCATATATATAGATATTTATATTAAATATTATTTTATTATTTTGTAAATACAAACTATCAATTTTCATAACAAGATTTACGATTCGAACGGCCCATTACTTGCTCATATTCAGATATATCTGGCTCAACTCTAGTTGGACTGGCAGCATAATTAATAATTTATATTTATTTACATAAAACTTTTGATCATATTTTAGTTTATTACTATAATTTACAAAATAAATTTTTCTAATTGCAGATTTAAATACCCTAATTTTAATTCCTAAGTGAAACATTGAAATAATTTAAAAAATGTCTACTGTTCTTATTGAATTTTAATCTCTTCCTTTTTTGTATTAACATTTTCTGAACTTTAATTTGCTACGTATTTTTTTAGTCTTCTCAATCTTGCTTTGATACATTCGAGTTTAATTTTCTTGTCAAAATTTTTGTCAGCCATTTGTATTTTGTTTTTGTAAATTAATAATTTGTTTCTTTAATTAATTAAAGTTCAGCCAAATTAATTTCATCACGGATATCATTGAAATGTAAAAATTTTAATTTATTAAAATATATTTAATATAATTCTAATTCAGGAAACCTTTATTAATACAAATTTTAATTAAAATTTAATATTATAAAATTCTAACTAATTGAAAAATTTAATGTATTAAAAATATTAACAAGTTAATTAGTGATAATGCTATTTAAATTTTTACATACATATATTCATAATATCATTTTTATTTCACTAGAATTAGATAGTGTCAAATCATTTGACTCAGCTTCAGGAAAATTCATATCAGTTTTGTTTACGTTCTGAAGTTAAATAAATCTATAAATGTTTCCACTGAACGATCAGTAAGAAAAATAACGTACAAATAACCTAAAGAAAAATAACGTACATATAACGTGTACCAATTTGGTATAATTTATTAATACTTTTAATACTTCTTAATCGATAATTTAAATTAATTATTTATTGATTAATTTTTACTTTTAATATTATAATTTTTTAAATTTATTTTTTTATTTTTATTGTTATTTATTCATATTTTTTTATTTTAAACTACTAGAATTAACTTACACTAAAAGAAAATTTTTTAATTTTTCTAATTTTCATGTTATAAAAACATTGTTTTAACATAGTTAACATTGTTATAAGAACAGAAATATGTTATTCTCTGGCTTAGCCGTATTTGAACTGGGCTGCTATACAATATATTTATGCGATATAATATAAGAAAAACATATATACATATATATTTATTTATATATATATTTATGCTATACAATATAAGACAAAACCGGTGACATTTGTAACATTAAAATATTTAAATTCTTAAATCAATTTATATTAATACTTTTTGTAAAATAAATTGCGAAAAGCAGAAAATTTTTTTAAATAAGAAATAACAAACTAGAAAAATTGATAAAATAAGTTGAATAAATATAAATAAAAAATTTATACTAACACAAATAGCATATAATAATAAATAATATACTATATCAAATGTGCAAATAATTATCACAAATATTTATTTGTACGTTTATAATTGAGATTATATACAGAAAGTTCTCATACAAGAATTAAATTTCGATCACTCTAACCAATTTTTGTTCGAATTTTATTACGGTTTCTCTCATTTGAGATTATTTTTACCATAATTATATTGGATTAACAACTCTTATTTTATTTTGAATTCGCGGTTGAATAAGAATTGTAATTGTCTGTTGCTTTATATTTAAGCACTTAAACAAAAGATGTTTAATTATACTGAATTCCTTCTTATATGCCTTTTGGTAGTCACAACTTAAAATTATAATATTTATTGTAATTAATCACTTCTTGTCGGAGTAAAATTAAAAAATTTCTAACTAGACATCGTGTTCTTCGAAATTCCAATTTTGTCGTTATCATCCCACCAATTTTTGCCTTGCACTTACTCTTTCGACAAGAAATGCGCAAAAACCAAAAATTTTTGGATTTTTTGTGACTAAGACACCAGATTTTAAACGGTTGTAATATGTATTTATAGATATGATGAACAAAAAGGGAAAAGTTTCCAACAAAAAGAGAAAAGTTTTCTTGCGTTCCAATTATATGAATAATTATGCCAATAAACTAATAAAACTAAGACAAGGTTACTGGGACGCTCTATCTGGGTCTTGAGTTTTATTTCTAAAATAATCTACCTATTTAAGAATAGAATAAGGGCATTAGTTGCACCACCAATATTGACAATTATCATACTAAATACTAGAAGCAAAAATAAATCTGTTGGGTTAGTGGAGCTTTCTGCTAGTGGTTCATAAATAAATTCACTAATCATCCAGCCAAGTAAATAAAAACCGATGTTTATAGAAATTATAATAAGAATTGATCTATAAATTTTTTTCATATGTTGTTCGGAGGTGTCTAAATCAAAATATAATAAAATAAAGACATTAGACTAAATACAACTATCAAGCCATGTCTTACTAGATATATTCTACCCAGAAGAATTTCATTTCTACTCAGACTTTGTTGTATCGAGATTAAACTCACAAGGTTGAAGTTAAGGAAAAGTATCAGTAAATTAAAACCTTTTCTACATATCAGTATCAATCCAAGCAGTAAGTAACAAAACAGCGGTGGTATATATATGTACAGGCTCTCTAAATAATTCATTATCGTGCTATCATAAGCTATCATATCCAAAGTATCAGCTATGTTTCCAGTTACTGGCCAGTCAGGATATTGAATGCAAACATATATCATTCTATAGAGTATGTAACAGCTAACAATGATTAGTACTGATACATGGCAACAAATATAGCGTTTCTTGTTAAGATTCTTGTAGCTGAAAGGTTTAGAAATATTTAAAATATTGAACAATAAAAATGTTTTTCCGTATTTTTTACATTTGCTTGATTATTTTTAATATTTTTAAAATTTTTTGCATTTTTAAACAAATTAGGAATAAAAGAAGAAATCAGGCTTCTTGGCCCTAAAAATTTGAAATATTTTGAATGCAGGGTTGTTTAGTAAATTATTAGATTATCGGTGCTGAATTTTGATAAACGAGCTTACAGTTCAGCTTGTTTATGATTTACTAGGTAAATTTCATTCAATTTTAGTACTGCTATTTCTAACCGATTTCGCCATATTTTTGCCATATTATTATTGGCCGCACCCAATTTTATTTTCAGCCAAGCAATAGCATAAATACATAAATTAGCTTACAATATAGGAAAAGCAGCTGCAACTAATCTGTCTACACTCAGAGAACTGAACATAAATAGATTTGAGAAAAAACCCATCAGAGAATGTGTTTGAAATATTACAGCTATTTTGAATGGAATAAAATTTATTCCGCTTCCAGAAACAACCAGAAAAAGAAAATGCGAAGATTCATGTAAAATTTCGAGAACTGAGTTTATTATTATCAGAATAGAAGTTTTGCTTCCAAGAGCAGAATATTTATTTCTGAAAATTAATTATGTTTTAATAAGGTCCCAAAATTAATCCCAAAATTTTTATATGTCAATATACATCAATGAGTCATCATTACACTTGCTATAGTAAGATGTCTCCAAGATATATGTTGTGTGCCTCCAAGACTAGCTTCGGCTTTTCTAGGGACTAGCTTCGTCTTTTTCTGTAATATTCTTTTTTTTTCCGAAAATAAAATTTCCAAATTAGACTATGGAAAATGGCGACATTGAAATACCTCCCAAATAAGAAGACCCATCATGTTGGAAAACTCGAAATTCGGTACAAAAAAACTTAAAAACCTGGGAAAAAATCCATTAATTTTTATCGCTTATTCTAACAGTTCAGAAAAAATTACAATTTTCATTCTCTGTGCCAAACCGTAAATCTTTAGACTATCACAATGATATTCTATTTTAATTTACCTATATTTGATAGTGATATAACTGACACTAAAATTGCAAATAATTCCAACAAACCCCACTAATGATAAAGGCAGTGCTTGACCGAAAAATTCCAGTTTTATTCCGGCATTTTTATTAGACAAGTAATCCGCCTGAATTGAAATTTTGTTTAATTTTTAATTAAATTATTACATCTGTTGAAGGTCTGGACATTTAGATTAGAAGAAATATTATACTTGATTTACTTCAATTTTTGATTTTTGCCGATATTTCTGTTTTCTTAATTTCAATGCATATTTATAAAAAAGCTTTAAATCTTTTAAATTAGTCGCATGATATCTTAAAGTTCTGGATATCCGGAAACTTACTAAAAATTTCTATATAGAGATCATGTTTTAGATAAACTTATAGAGAATTTAAGGAATTATAAAACAAAAGGGAGAAAGGAGAAGAAATGGAAATCATATAGCCCAATAAACTACAAATTTAAGCATATTAAATGTGTTAATAAGCCTTTCAAAATTATTCAAGCATTTTTAAAATAATTTTAACAAACAAAAATTATAGTGCCGTGTGATTTTTATACATAATTTAAATAAAGTGTAAATAAATGTTGAAATTTTGAATAGTTTCTATAGTAATTAATCATTTTATACTCTTAATGAACTAAAAACCATTACGTAAAAAATGTGGGAACATAAGTAAACAATTAAATAATAATGGTTTTCAATTAAAGATTGTTTTGTATTTTAAATAAAAAGTAAACAAGTAATAAAAAGTTAACGACGCTTTTCATTTAGTCTATTAAAAATTATTTATAATTTTTTGATTCCTAGAATTTTTCATAGATTTTACATATGTAGGAGTTTTAACTAGATTTTAATTTTTTTGTTATTTCAATGTTGGTGTCTATACCGCAGGTGTTAAAAATTCAAATAAAAAAGTTTAAATTAAAGATTGAAGAAAAATAATAAAAAATATTTTGAATTAAACTACAATTATAATGAAAAAATTTTTGAATTTTTTATTGTATCGTCAGAAATTTTTCAAAAGTTCATTTATTTAAGTAGATACAGAAATTTGAGTCGCAATCTTTGACGGGAGCAATCGTATACGGTATCTACTTATAATTATTTTTTAGTTGCCGAATATATCTATAATCTTTTTATTGAATATTCCTTAATTTCAAATTTGTAAAATTTATCAAAAGATATTTAATTTTATACTTCACTCATGTTTTTTTATTTATTGATCAATATTAAGAATATTATAATAAGATAATTATGTTTAATTGAACAAGTTTTTTATATAAAAATTTCTTTTATTCGTCTATTCAAATTATTTCGAATTTAAAAAATAATTAATACATTATATATCCTTTTAAACCATATACATTTCAATTCTAATTTTAAAATAAAAATCCAAAATATTTAATTGCTTTTTAATTTTATTTATAAAAAAAATCAAATATAGGTCTCCGGCCCTAGTTCTTCCGTGGACTAGGACAACCGGAGCTGCCGTCGAACCACTCTCCCTTCCTTCCCAACAACCCCACCACAACAACATTACAGGATCTTGTTACGAGCCCAGCGACCGTTGAATCCGCACGAAGCACGTGCCGCAAAATCCCGTGCGAAGCGCGGGAAAAATGAAAACCAATATTTTGAACGACGAGGGAAAAATAAGGAAAATATTTGATCATATAAAACTGCGAATATTTGATTTTATTCCAAAATCATTTTTTTGATTATTTTTAATAATATAGTTAAAAAACCCCATGTCTGAACCGAAAATTTCTGGATATCAAGATTTTTTGCTCAATAATAATTTTGTATCTTTGCAATAATTCTCTGAATTGGTTCTATTTATCGATTTATTTATTTTAGTTTAACTTTTTATTTCCTTTCTTCATTCTATATTGTCTTTGAAAGCAGTTACCACATAAACTTTTTCCTGGTTCTAAATGTAGGTACCATTGATATGTTTGTAATGCACCACAATCATAACATTGACGATCATTAGGGTTTATCTGTGTATTTTTTAAAAATTAATAATTATTACAGACGAAAGCTATCTCTCTCGCATCCTACATTTTTTCTTTGCATTAAAAATACCTTTGCTTGGTCGTTGGAATTTTCGGTACGGATAGGATCCGAAAATCTTACTTGAAAGAAGTATATGACTTACTCAAGATTTAATCTTGAGAGATATAGTCAAAACGATTAATTTTAAAGATTTACCTCTTTTGGTTTATATTTTGACCAAAATCTCCGCGGTCTATGCTTTCTATTACTTAGTTGATATAGGCAACATGCATGACACAAATACTGTTCTTTTATGTACCTGTGCCATCGTCTAGTTTGTGTATCTCTACAATTGAAACAATTTATTTGCTTTCCTTCGGAAATTTCGCCTATAATATTTTTAACAATGAAAACATTTAAAAGAAAAATGCAGATCAGGATTATGAACTCTTCTGTATTTCGTTTTTACTTTCACCCGTTTTTTATATTTTTTACCGTTTCTTCCATCATCTGACTTCCGTTTTTAAAAAATGGCGCTCACCTCTTTAACGCAGGTGAGCGCCTATGTGACTATTTTGGCGATTGCAAATTTCGACTTATTTTTTTACCGAAAAATTACTTTTTGGATGTCTATGAATATCTAAACTAAACTGAAAATAAAAATTTTATTTTTACTAATTTTATTGCCAATATAAATAATTCTGTTTTCTCCTTTTGAAGCTTCAACTTTTTGTTTTTCTAACAATTCAATTTTATATCCATTTAAATTAACTTCTGACCAATAACTTGTTAATACTTTATATTTATAATTTTCTATTATTTCTTTAATTGATTTCAAATTATCATTATCTTCTAAACTCTTATCTAATATTGATGTTAAATAATATTTGTTCTTTTCGACAAAAGTATTTTTTAAGAGTACCTTAAATATATGATCACTGAAAGAAAAGCACATCGCGCCAATTTAAATACGCTAGAGTAAGGTTGTCGTATAGAAGAAAACCTTCGGATATCCGGATATATTACCGGATACGGATATCCGTATCTGACAACCTTACAAGAGAGTGTCTTCTATTTGGGATATTGATACGACTTAACTCTGATATATATCTCTTTCATTAATAGGTCAGGCTTTGTAAGGATTAGTTTAGTTTGGATTTGAATCGTGTTTTTTGTGCATATGTCAATTAAATTGTTCTCTAACAGCCTCTAAATTTTTAAATTTTTAATGGGTATACTAGTAAAGTGGGTATACTATATTGGGTATATTAAATGGGTATACTCCAAATTTAAATTTTTATCGAAAAATCGAAATTCCGACCCATATGTTAGACCTTTCTTAAACTCAAGAAATTATCTTCAGTTTAGTTCGGATAATCAAAATGTTAAAATACCCGTTTTCTAAATTCAGGCAAAACATTTTGAATCTTTTGACTATTGGCAAGTTCAATCACAACTTTCCTTTTTAATTGTTCAGTTGAACTATTATATCTTTTTGATTTTATATCAGTTGTAAAAATATTTTTAACAGAATTAAATTTAGTTAAACGCAAAAATCCTTCTATATTTTTATCCAGACTATTAAATTGATTATTTTGTTTCTCAATTGTTTTCAACACAAAACGCTCCTTTAGTTCAACATTTTTTAAATATATAAATTCTCTTTTGTCTTCCCAATCATTTTTGATTTTTATTTTAATAATTTTTCCTCTGCATTGAATATTTAATAAAATAAGCAAATGAAGAAGGTAAAACCATTTTACTAGCATCTAAAAAACTTTATTTATGACGGATTTAAGATCTATTAAAAGTGAAGAGCCTTTACGTGGTGAACGAGTTTTAGAATTAAGCGTCAAGC